ACGCGCCCCGTGCAGCCACAGGCAGCCACCGGGGGGGGCGCAGGAGCAATTGTGTCATAAGTCGTGCGTCAACGCTTCCATCGCCGCGGGAGTTGCAGGACCGCGAGGTGCTAGTGGGGTTTGGGCAGCTAGTGGCGGTGCGGGCATTGCAGTCGGGACGCGCCGAGGCATGGCGGAGCCGCTCGGCGAAGGCCGAGCGCATGTCAAGCAAGTGAGAGCTACCATCGTGCACGAAGAAGGCGTGAAGTCAGGAGACTTCCTCCTCGGGTCCATTTACCTTGGCCCATGGGCTGCTTGGGTCGCGGGACCTGGGGCCCGTTGATGGCGGTGGGCGACGCCGTCGCGACAGCATGGAGAAGCTGCGCGCTCGGCGGGGATTGGAACGTCAGCCCCGAGACGTTCCGCAGTCGAGCGTGCGCATGGCTGGCGGCGATGGGCGGCGTGGTTGCGTCGGACTCCAAGGGCGTCGGCGCGCGCTGCTTCGACTTTGCCAAGCCGCCCTCGCACCCTGACTGGTTCGTCGTCGCGAGGGACATGTCAGACATGGTGCTGGGATGCGAGGTGGTGCTGGACAAGAGCGACTTCGGGGCGGCAGCAGTCAGACCGCATCGAGGAGCGCGACTGAAGCCAAAGGCCCGCGGGCCCGAGCCCTTGGAATGGCGCATGGCGGCGCCGAGGCCCTTCCCGCAGACCCCAGCCCAGGGTCCGCTGCAGCCCGGGGGGGGGGGGGGGGCCCTCGCAGCGGTGGGCTTGCTCGGGGGTGAAGGCCGCGGAGCTGCTCGGCGATGTGGAATATGGGCTCGTGCGCGTCCAGATGGTGCACCCCGGCGTCGTGGGGCGCTACGTTGCGATGAACGAGGGCCTCGTCGAGCGGGTGGTGAGCCCGAACGTGGTGATGAATTGCGCCGGGGCGGAGGTGGGCGGGCCCCCGCGCGCGCGGATGGCGGTGTCGGACTACCTGCTCTCCGTCGGCGCGGTGGGCGCCGAGTCGACAGGGGGGGCCCCGCGGGGCCTCGCCACTGTTGGAGGGCATTGCGCGTGCAGTGGGCGGCATCGGCAAGCTATGAGCGACGACGAGTCTGGGCGTCTGCGGCGAGGCGGTGGGCGGGGGTCAGGGCCGCAGCCGGCGGAAGAGAACGGAGCAGGTGCTTCCAGGACTGGGCGCGTCGGTCGCTGGGCGCAGGCGCTGGGGCGAGTCGCAATTTTCAGCGGGGGCCTCGATCGCGTTCGGAGCTCGGGCGGCCCCTGCCGTGGCGGGCCCGCAGCGCGGGGTCAGAAACGATGGGGGTTGGCGCGCGACTTCTGGGCGAAGGGCGCGCGGCGCGTCCCACTTGAGGGGGGGGCGTTCGAGGCGGGGGCTATGGGGGCGGGGCCGCCCCTGCCGGGGCCCGCGGCGGGCGGCGTGAGAGGAGCTGCCGGGTCTTTCCCGGCGAGAGCGGGGGTGGGCGTGGGCGGGCCGAGGTCGCGCCGGTTCAGTCTGTGCGACGAGTTCGTCGCGGCGGCGAGCGACCTGGCGATGGGCTGCGAGTGTCTTGGCGCCGATCCCAGTGGCGGGCGCGAGGCCAGTGATCATGCTACCTGTGCCAGCAGAAGGGGCTCTCCAGTGGGCCCCTCTGGTCCCCGAGGCCTTCGAGCAATGCGCGGCGGCGCTTCTGGGGGGGGGCGCGATGGGGCGTCTGGAGGTGCTGCGTGGTGGCAACTGCTGCGGCGCCGGGGGCGGCCTCCACCGCCGTCGCGCTGGACCTGTGCAAGGCGAGCTGGTGGACTTGGCGGCGGCGCAGGAGCGAGGAGTTCTGGCGGGGTGCCTTGTTCGGTTGCTGGGCTTGGCGCTGTCGGTCTACGCTGGGCCGCGTCGCATCGAGCTCGAGACCGCCGTCGGGCCCCCTTTGCGCTTGGGCGCGGGGCTGGTGGCTGGCTGCTCGCAGGCCGGTCGCCGCCCCGAGGGCGCCGTGCTCGTCGCGGCAGACGGGCGCCGGGGGCTGCGGCGGGAGCTCGCGCCCAGGTTCCACTTGGATATCGTGTTCGACGCCGCCGCCCACCCAGCGCTCGCGCGCGCCGGGCAGCCATCCGCGCTCGTGGAGGCGGCGGCGGAGGCGGCGATCAAGGAGCTGGAGGAGCCAGGCTGCCAGATCTCGGCGTCCAAGTGCGCGTCCCTGGCGTCGGGCGAGGGCGCGGCGTGGGCGCTGCTGTGGGAGCTGAACAAGAGGGGCGTCATCTTCCCCCTCGTCGACGAGGCGAGGAACTTGGGAGTGAATTTCGCGCGGCGCCAGGGCGGCGCTTTCGTTGCGCGCGCCAGGCGCCAGGCGCCGCAGACTGAAGGGGCAGTTCCCGGGGATCATGGCGGTGCGGAGGCAGTCCGAGAAGGCCGCGGAGCACCTCCTTGGCCGCGGGGCTGCGTCTTGCAACCTGGTGCGGAGCAGCTGCTTCGACGTGGTCAGACGCGCGGCTGGGGGGCCGGGCGGGTGGCGACCTCTTCGGCGGCGGGCGAGGGCGCGTGTTATCGCTGGGGTTCCTGCTGGCCGGGAAGCAGCGGGTGGATCCCGCGGATGCCCGTCCAGGCATGGGCGCTGGCGATCCAGGCGCGGAGAGGTGACGAGGGTGTCCGCGTGCCCGGGGGCGCCTCCGCCGCCGGCGCGAGGGAGCTGCAGGAGGCGGGCGGGGTGGGCCTTGCGGGGCGCGGGCCCGCTGGCGCGGCAGCCCCGGCGCGCGCGCGCGCCTCGGGCGGGCCCCCGCCGGCCCGAGGGCCTTCGAGGCGCGCGACGGGGGGCCGCTGGAATTGCTTGGGCTGGGCGGGCGCGCGATCAAGACCGAGGTGGCGCGAGCCCGCGGGCGGGCGCCGCGGGGGTAGGCGGCCGCGAGCGCAATGCCGGCCGCCGTAGGGGGCGGAGTCGCAGCAATCGAGCGCGCCCAGATGGAGGTCGCCAGGTTCACCGACGTCCAGAAGGCAAGGGCGGCGCGGTCATCCGCGATGCCGCGTCTACGGGGTGCCTGTGGCCAGCGTGGCGGCGAGCCGCGCTGGGCGCCCCGCTGGCGTCGCCACGGGGCGCCCGATGGGGGGCGGCGAGGCGCCTGGCGCGGAGTTGCGCGGCCAGCAGGGCTATGGGGGGGCAGCTCGTCGAGGGTTTCGAGGGGGGCGACGAAATTGCGTGGCTGGCGGCCATCGGCGCGGCTGGCGACGAGGGGGGCCCGCTCGGGTCGTCGAGCGGGGAGGGGGGGTCGCCGGCTGGCGAGGCGGACCGCTGTTCAGCATCTTGTTCGTGGGCGGCTCCGCTCCGGGGCCGCAGCGGGGGGGGGGTGCGAGCGCGGACTTCGGCGAGCCCGCGATCGGCGGCGTCGGCGAGACCTCGGGCGGACTTCGAGGCGACGGTGGGCGAGGCGCGGCGGCAGCGACGGCGGTCCTTGCGGGGGCGGCCACGGCGCTGGCTGCGGCGAGTGTCGAGGGCGACGGCGGAGCCAGCGTGGTGGGCGGGGGGGCGGGCGACGCCGCGCGGGGCATGAGGCGTCGCTGTCGCCGACGCCACCGTCCGCGGGGCCTGGTGGAACCGCCCCGTGCACGAGTCGCGCAGCGCAGGATGCGGCAGGCAGGTGGCGCAGCTTTCTGCTCCGCGCGCGGCGCCTTCGCGTTCAGAGTCAGGATGCCCGGGCTCGTCGCGGCGTGCCGTGAAGGTCCTCGTGGGGCCGAGCAGAGGCGGTGATGGACCGCCTCGGGCGGGGCAAGCGCCCGACCAGCGACGGGCGCCTCGGCGCGCCCAAGCCTTTGGCGCGCGCGAGGGGGCGCGGGCGCAGCCGATCGCCGCCCGCGTCAGACTTCGCGAGGAGATTTCGCCCTCTCTCTCTCTATCCCTCTCTCTCTCTCCTCTCTCTCTCTCTCTATATAATATATATATATATATATATATATATATATATATTAGTGTCTTTTTTTTTCTCTCTCTCTCTCTCTCTCTCTCTTTCTTTTGTTGTTGTTGTTGTTGTTGGTGTTGTTATTTTTAGTGGTTTGTTTTTTTCCTCTCCCCGAGTTGGGGGGCAGCTGCCCCCCCCCGAGTCTGCGTTGCCAGCGGGGGGCAGGGCCTTCTCGAGTCGGCTGCGGCCCGTGGACTAGTAGTGCGTGCCTGGCTCGTGACTGGAGGGGGAGGGGGAATGTTGGCGCGGGCGCGAGTGTTGCCGCGCTTCGTTGGGGGCCATCATCATCATCATCATCATCATCATCATCATCATCATCATCACCAGTACTATCACCAACACCATCACCATCGTCATCATCGATCGTCATTCGCATCATCATCATCATCGCCATCACAATCATCCGTATTATTAGCATCGCCGCCATCATCATCACCATCATCATCATATGCTTCGCCATCATCATCATCACCATCATCATCATCATCATCATCATTCACATCATCGTCATCATGATCGTCGTCATCATCCGTGTCATCATTCTCTTTTCTCCCATCCGCACCCTCATCTTCATCCCCTTCCACATCATCATTCCCATCCTCATCCTTTTTTCCGTCCTCATAATTACCATGCCCACTATCATCATCACCATCTTTAACATCACCATCATACGTACTTGCTATACTAATGCTCAGCAGTCTCATCATCATCATCATCATCAGCATCCTCCTCATCATCATCATCATCAGCATCTTCGCCCGTATTCTTTTTTTCTTCATCCTTCTCCTAGCTCGTCCTCGATACTCATGGTCGTCGACGTTACCCTCTTCCCTTCTCCATCCTCCTTTTCTCATCTTCCTGCCCTCTTCCCCTTCTCCTCTCATCATTATATTATCCGTCCTCTCCCTGCCCTTTCCGTCCTCCATCCTCCATCCTGCCTCCCCCCTTCAGCCCTCCCGCTCTCGTCGCGGTTACCTCCCTGCACCCTGCTCCTCCCCTTCCCTCCCTCATCTCTCCTACTTCTCCCCCTGCGCTTTTGCTGCTGCCCCTGCCGCCACCGCGGCTCCCCCTCCCGCCCCTCCTGCCTGCGACCGCAGGCGGTCGAACAGGAGAAGAAGCGGAGGAAAACCGAAAAGGCGAAATTGTCCATAGACGACGAGCGGAACCGCAAGTACAACTCTTTCGGCAGCGACGGGCAATCCACAGACGTCACCGCCGAGGATCGGAAGTTTCTGTTATTTTGATTCAACTTCGTCGGAGGTTCTCGTCGAGCAGGCCCAAGAAGAAGGTAGGCCGACGATCCAGGGCGTTCCGGAACGCTGTCAGGGCGCTGCGGACAGCGGCACCGTAATGGGTATTCACCAACTGGTATTTTCGAGCCCCGCCGAACGTCGCCTTCTCGGGACCTGCTTTGGGCACCGCGTTGGGAAGGGTTGCTCGCGTTCGCCGGGTCGCTGGCCAGTGTGCCCGTTGGTGGAGTCCTTGTCAGAGGGGCGCTGGTACGGGAGACGCCCTGGAGCGGCCGCGGCGCCCGACGCGTCCTCCAAGCCCGCCCGCTCTCTTCCCGCCGCCGTTTTACTTCGGAGCGTGTCCACCACCACCAGGCCCGCGCGGGCCCGTCTCTGGAGGCCCAGATCCCAGGAGGGGAGAAAACACAGACACAATCAATCGTCAATTCCCCAAAACAAGTAGGAAAGTATGGAACGTGAGAGGGGAGACGAAACTCCCCCAAGTATGCAAAATATGGGGAATCCTTGGATTTGTATGTATTTATTCTCTTGCACAGAGTGTCTAGAGCTCCGACTACTTTTTTCCGCGTCGCACCGCACCCCCTTCTGCCCCGCCCCCCTCCTGCCCCCCCCCCGCGTTCCCCCAAGTGGAACCTCCGCCCACTGCCCCCTCCGCCCCGACAGTCTTGTTCCGCGTCGCGCCGCACCCTTTCCTGCCCCGTCCCCCTCGTGCCCCCCCCCAGCGTTCCCCCAGTGGCCCAGTGGAACTTCCGCCCACTGCCCCCTCCGCCCCGACAGTTTTATTCCGCGTCGCACCGCACCCGCCAGCCCTCCCCGCCTCACCCCATCCTTCCCCAGCTCACCCCCTGCCCGCCCTGCCCCCCTCCTACCCCTCCCCAGCGTGCCCCAGCGGCCCAGTGGAACCTCCGCCCAGTGCCCCCTCCGCCCCGGCCGCTTTATTCAGCGTCGCACCGCGCCCGCCCTCCCTTCCAGCCCCCCTCCCACGTCTCCCCAGCCCCGCCCTATTTTGCGTCGCGCCGCACCCGCCCCCCTCTCCCCGCCCCCTCCACCCCTCCCCAGCCCCAGCGGTCCACTCGAACTTCCGCCCACTGCCACCTCCGCCCCGACCACTTTATTCCGCGTGGCACCGCACCCCCCCTCCTCCCCCCAGCGTTCCCCAGAGGCCCAGTGGAACCCCGCCCAATGCCCTCTCCGTCCCGACCACTTTTTTCCGCGTCGCACCGCGCCCCCTCTCTTCCTTTCCCCAGCGTTCTACAGAGACCCAGTGGAACCTCCGCCCAGTGATTCCGCGTCGCGCGCACGCCCCCCTCCCCGCCACCCTCCCGACCCTCTCCAGCGTGCCCCACCAGCCCAGTGGAACCTCCGCCCAGTGCCCCTTCCGCCCCGGCCACTTTTTTCCGCGTCGCACCGCGCCCGTTGTTTTCGTGAGGCTGAATGGCCTTATGTTGGCTCCCAGAATCAAAATTATCCTGGCGAAGGACCCAACAATAACAATTGTTCGTAACGCGTTGTGGGTGCCGCTTTCGGTGGGGCTCCCCATGGGGCCACGAAACGCTGCCCTGGGTGGGGGAACCGTATGCGAACTGCGCCACTGGGGCGGGCCTTCGGTGGAGCTCCCTATGGGGCCACGAAACGCTGCCCTGGGCGGGGGAACCGCATGCGAACTGCGCCACTAGGGCCTTCGGTGGAGCTCCCTATGGGGCCACGACACGCTGCCCTGGGTCCCCGTCGTGGTCTCTTCCCTCGCCCGAGCTTTCTATCAAGGATCAGCACTCATCCTGCACGGCTATCGTTTTTGGAGGTCCGCGCGGACTTCTTGGGTCGGCGCTTGATCCCCCCCTGGCGCGGACATCTGAAAATCAAAGCTTATGTTGGGGTCAGCGATCGAGCCCGAGTGGGTGTTCATATTTTGTTGTCCAAGAGCCGTTGAGGGCGAGCTTCCTAGAACCCCGCCCGTGCCCCATCCCCACCCTTCCGTCCCCCCGACTGTCGGCGAGGGGTAGCTACACACCACGTCGTTGGGCGGGGGGACGGAAAGGGGATGGGGAGGGCTCTGCGTTCGGCGAAGGAGGATCGCCAGGAGGAGGGCCAAACAACGCCCTGTGTGCTGTGTTCCGTGTTCGTTGATGAGCGTGAGGGGGGGGGGGGCACCCCTTCGACGGGGGTTAACCTCGCCACGTCGGCGTGCTGCGCCAGGGGGCGCGGCGCCTTCGGGCGGATTTCTCCTGCGGCGGGTGTTGCTTCGAGGCTGTCGGCGGCGTCGCCTGCCGTTTGTTTCTCCTCGCTTATTCCACTTCGCCCATGATTTGTCGGCGATTTGTCGCCGATTCCAGGTTGATGCTCCTCCCTGAGCCAGTTCTCCCTTATTGTTGCCGCTCACACCCCCATTGGCGCTTCTCGCTTCTCGCCCATTCCACTGTGCTCGCACAGAGATTGGGCCACGTTCGCAGGATGGCGACTTCTGCGCGTGTGGCGGCAGCGTGATGTCCTGTTATTTTACGCTGCGCTCGCCACCGCGTGGGAGATCGATCCTCAGAGGCTTCGGCAGTGGTGGACACGGATACATATTCGGGCCCTGGGGGGGCAACCGGGTGCATTTCCACCGCCTGACGGTGTCCCCGAAGATCGACGTCCCAGGGGGGGAGGCGGAGGAGGAGGATGAGGCGGAGGGCAAGGAGGACAAGGAGGAGGAGGAGGAGGAGGAGGAGGAGGAGGAGGAGGAGGAGGAGGAGGAGAAGAGGAGGAGGAGGAGGAGGAGGAGGAGGAGGAGGAGGAGGACAAGGAGGACAAGGAGGAGGAGAAAGATGAGGACCTGTGTCAATCCAAAAGTCATGAGGATGAGGAGGAGGAGGTGGAGGAGGAGGAGGAGGTTGTGGAGGAGGTTGTGGAGGAGGAGGAGGAGGAAGAGGGGGAGGAGGAGGAATAGGAGGAGGGGCGGTGGCCATGGACAAGTCCCCCGTCTCGGGGGAACCAGCTCGGCCCAGAGGAGCTGGAGGCCACCTGTCTGCCCAACCTCAGCTAGATTGCCTCCCCCCCTCCTGAGACAGTCCGTCCGTCCTCCTGCTCCTCCATTCTGCGCGTGGGTGGCGGCATTCGCGCTGTCCTGCCACATGTATCTGTGCCGCGCCGCGGTAGCCAGGCGAGGGAGCAGGCCCCTCCGTTCCCACCGCCCCCCTCCTCCCCCCGCTTCTCCTCCTGCTCCCCCTCCGCCCTATCCCCCTCCTCCGCCTCTTCGGCCCCCTCCTCCTCTTCCTCCTCCTCCTCCTCCTCCTCGTCCTTTCGGCCTGGAGGAGCTGGAGGCCTACCGCTTGTCCAAGATGCGCGGAGACGACCCCATGGCGCAGTTCATGTGAGGCGCGTGAGTCCGTGCGGACGCGCCCGCGCGGTGAGCTCCGCGCGCGGCCGACGTGGACGTCCGCGCCCAGCGGTCTGCTCCAGCCTCCCTTCTCCCTCCTCCTCCAGTCAAGTTGAGGAGGGAGAAGGGAGGCATGAGGAAGATGAGGAGGAGGAGGAGGGGGAGGAGGGGGGGGAGGAGGAGGGTGGGCTGGAGACCGTACAAAGGCCTGGGCCGGAGGCCGTGGGAGGGCCAGGCAATCCTCCTCCTTCGTCGTCACTTCCCTGCTTTTTCTCTTCCTCCTCCTCGCACCTCCTCGCTCCTTGTCTTTCTCCAGCTCTTCCTCTTCCTCCTTCTCTTCCTCCCTGTCCTGCTTGTGGCGCCTCGTGTCAAGCCAGGACGCCACTAAAAACTGAGCCACGTTCGCTTTTTCACGTCAGAGGACCAATGCGCATTGTAATCCACATGGTTCCTCATTACATTTGTTTTCAGGTTTTTTTGGATCTACGCGCGCTCGGGTGCATCGACCCCCAATCGTCCACTCATCGCCGATAGGGTCGACTCGATGGCCCAGCCACGCTCAGGACCGTGAAGATTCGCTATCGGGAGCCTATCGCCGATCTGTCGGCGATGTCAGAATCAAGGGGCCGAACGGTCATTCACTGTCCCTGGGCGCGTGGCTGAAGTGAGGTTCTGCGGTGCGGATTGTTGTTGTTGTTGTTGGTGTTGTTGTTGTTGTTGTTGTTGTTGTTGGTGGTGGTGGTGGTGGTGTTGGTGTTGTTGCTGTTGTTGTTGCTGTTGCTGCTGTTGATGTTGTTGTTGTTGCTGCTGCTGCGGCGGCTGCTGCTGCTGTTGTTGTTGTTGCTGCTGCTGTTGTTATTGGTGCTGTTGGCGTTGTTGTTAGTGTTGCTATTGTTGAATATTATTCCTTCTAAAGAATTATTATTGTTGGGACCCCTGGTGCGCGACCTCTGCGCCGCGCCTAGGCCGCAGCTACATTTTCATCATTTTTTCGCGAAAGCTTCAGAAAAGTGGATTGTGTCCGGATCCGGTTGTTTTGTTGACCCCGTTTTCCCTTGCAAAAAACAATAGAAAATGAAAATTCTTGTTCTTACTTGATCAAATTGCAAGAATCCCTTGCAAAAAATAAGGTAAAGTGGACATTCGTGCGCGCAAGACGAAATCCTTCCAAAACCTTAGGTTTCGTAACGATTTTAACATAAAAACATCAAAAACCCAATGGTTTTTTAAGAAAAAATTGTCAAAATGTCCTTCCGCGCGCGCTGTCCGAATCCCACAAAACCAATGGTTTTTCAACATTTATGTTACATGAGCTCGCGCGAGCTACTTTTTCTTGTTCTAACATAATCAAATTTCAATAATCCCTTGCAAAAAATAAGGTAAAGTGGACATTCGCGCGCGCAAGACGAAATCCTTCCAGAACCTTAGGTTTCGTAACGATTTCAACATAAAAACATCAAAAACCCACTGGTTTTTCAAAAAAAAATGTCCAAATTTCATTCCGCGCGCGCTGTCCGACTCTGGTTTTTCAACATTTATGTTACATGAGCTCGCGCGAGCTACTTTTTCTTGTTCTAACATAATCAAATTTCAATACTCCCTTGCAAAAAAAAAGTAAAGTGGACATTCGCGCGCGCAAGACCAACAAAAAACACGACGATCTCAGGAACTTGCCCCAAAAATGTGACCAACTCCGCTCTCTCTGTCTCTCTCTCTGTCTGCTCTCTGTCTCTCTCTCTGTCTGTCTGTGTCATGTATTGTATGTCACAATTGCAGGATGCTGGGCACACGCGCGCCCCGAATAAGTGACCAAGTTCTGTGGGTGTGTACCCCACGCCAGTGTAGTAGCCACGGTCGTCCGCACGCCACGAAGTGAAGTGTCCCAACGTCATAGGGCGGGAAGCTGGGTTTGGGTGGTCGCGAAGAGTCGTTTGGATATTTGGTAGAGCTTGAACTGCCCCCCCACGAAGTGGGGGTATTGTCTCGCGTCGCATGAAAACCCTGGCACTGGTGAGAACACTGAGCGTTCGGGTAAAATGATTGTTGTTGTTGTTGTTGTTGTTGTTGTTGTTGTTGTTGTTGTTGTTGATGCTGTTGTTGTTGTTGTTGCTGTTGGTGTTGTTGTTGTGGTTGTTGTTAATTTCTGTGCTATTGCTGCTGCTGCTGCTGCTGCTGCTGCTGCTGCTGCTGCTGTTGTTGTTGTTGTTGTTGTTGTTGTTGTTGTTGAACATTATTAATTCTAAAGAATAATTATTGTTGGGGCCCCTGGTGCGCGCCCCCCCCGCCGCGCCTAGGCCGCAGCCACATTTTCATCATTTTCGTGAGGAAGTCTCAGGCAAAACGGGGTATACCAGATCCGGTTGTGTTGTTACGATCGGTTTTCCCTTGCAAAAAATAAGGCAAAGTGGACATTTCTTGTTCTAACATGACCAAACTTCAAGAATCCCTTGCAAAAAATGACACGAAGTGCACATTCGCGCGCGCAAGACGAAATCCTTCCAAAACCTTAGTCTTCGTAGCGATTTTCACATAAAAACATGAAAAACCCAATGGTTTTTCAAAAAAAGGGTTTCAAAAATTCACCCCGCGCGCTCTTGCGGATTTCTTAGGAAACCCAATACTTTTTCAACATTTCTGTCAAACGGGCTCTTGCGAGCAACTTTTTCACGTGCTTCGAACTTCTGCAACAAAGGTTGCGCGCCTGCCAGGGCCATCATCCCTGTCAAATAATACCATATGGGACACATTCGTTTTTTCTTCGCGCGCGCACGCCGAAATCTTCAAAAATCATTGGGTTTCTTAGGAATTTTAGCACCGCGCAACATAAAATCATACGAATCGCACCGTAGGTTCTCGAAAAACATCTGTACGAATTTTCAAAATTTCTACCCGCGCGCGCTGTCCGAATCCTTAAAAACCAATGGTTTTTCAACATTTATGTTATAGAGCTCGCGCGAGCTGTTTTCGCAAGCTCTTTCAACGGCGTTCGCGCGCCTGCCAGGGGCCACAATCCGCCAGTGTAGTAGCCACGCGCCAGTGTAGTAGCCACGGTCGTCCGCAGGCCACGAAGTGAAGTGTCCGAACGTCATAGGGCGGGAAGCTGGGTGTGGGTGGTGGCGAAGAGTCGTTTGGAAACTTGGTAGAGCTTGAACCGGCCCCCCCACAAAGTGGGGGTATTGCCCGCCTCCTATGAAAACCCTGGCGCTGGTGAGAACGGAGTGTCCCCAGTCTTAAATGATTGTGGTTGTTGTTGTTGTTGTTGTTGTTGTTGTTGTTGGTGTTATTATTACTATTATTTTTATTATTCTTATTCTTATTATTATTATTGTTATTGTTGTTGTTGTTGTTGTTGTTGTTGTTGTTGTTGTTGAACATTATTACTTCTAAAGAATAATTATTGTTGGGGCCCCTGGTGCACGACCCCCCCGCCGCGCCTAGGCCGCAGCCACATTTTCATCATTTTCGTGAGGACGTCTCAGGCAAAACGGGTTGGTCCGGATCCGGTTGTTTTGTTACGGCCCGCTTTCCTTGCAAAAAACAAGCTAAAGTTGACATTTCTTATTCTAACATACCAAACTTCAAGAATCCCTTGCCAAAAATAAGGTAAAGTGGACATTCGCGCGCGCAAGACGAAATCCTTCCAAAACCTTAGTTTTCGTAGCGATTTTAACATAAAAACATCAAAAAACCAATGGTTTTAAAAAAAAAATGTCAAAATTTCATCCCGCGCGCTCTTGCGGATTCGTAGGAAACCCCCAACACTTTTTAAACATTTCTGTCAAACGGGCTTTTGCGAGCAACTTTTTCGAACTTCTGCAACAACGGTTGCGCACCTGCCAGGGCCATCATCCCTGTCAAATAATACCATGCGGGACACATTCGTTTTTTCTTCGCGCGCGCACGCCGTCGTCGTCGGCCGCGGGGCCCTGAATAGTAGCCACGGTCGTCCGCATGCCACGAAGTGAAGTGTCCGAACGTCATAGGGCGGGAAGCTGGGTGTGGGTGGTGGCGAAGAGTCGTTTGGAAATTTGGTAGAGCTTGAACCGGCCCCCCCACAAAGTGGGGGTATTGCCCGCCTCCTATGAAAACCCTGGCACTGGTGAGAACGGAGTGTCCCCACGTGCTAGTAATTGTTGTTGTTGTTGTTGTTGTTGTTGTTGTTGTTGTTGTTGTTGTTGTTGTTGTTGTTGTTGTTAATAGCGCCCTTGCGTTTGCATGTCCTGCAATTTATTCAAGCGCCGCGCTCCTGGCACCCAGGCACCCAGGAGTCGCGCTCACGCTTAGGACTCTGTCACAGATAACATAGGAATCGGGATCTCGCTGCCCCTCGTGGCCCCGTTGCAGCCCTTCGTGGCCCCCTCGCTTTGTTTCGTGGCCCCGTTGCAGCCTTTCGCCTCCTCGCTGCCCTTCGTGGCCCCGTTGCAGCCCCTCGTGGCCTCCTCGCCGCACTTCGTGGCCCCGTTGCAGTCCTTCGTGGCCCCCTCGCTTTGTTTCGTGGCCCCGTTGCAGCGCTTCGTGGCCCCCTCGCTGCCCTTCGTGGCCCCGTCGCAGCCCTTCGTGGCCCCGTTGCAGCCCTTCGTGGCCCCCTCGCTTTGTTTCGTGGCCCCGTTGCATCCCTTCGTGGCCCCCTCGCTGCCCTTCGTGGCCCCATATATGTATGCCCTTCGTGGCCCCCGCTCGTTCGCGCCCGTGGTGGCCCTATATGCATCTGTCCTACGTGGCCCAGTTGCTACCCTCAGTGGGCCCATCGTTGCCTTCTGTGGCCCCGCATTATCTGCCCTTCGTGGCCCCCGCTCGTTCGCGCTCTTCATGGCCCCATAAGCATTACCTTCGTCTCCCCGCTGTTGCCCTTCGTGGCCTACTTCGTGTCCTTGTGGCCGGCCCTGCTGTCGTTCTCTTTCGCTCTCGCTTTCGCTCGTCGTCGTCGCCGTCGTCGTCGTCGTCGCCGTCGTCGTCGTCGTCGTCGTGGTCGGTCCCCTGTCCGTCCCTCTTGGGGTCGGGTCCACGGTCCGCGGCCGCCCCGCCGATCAGCGCTGCCGCTGGCCATGCCGACGGTCCGCGGCCGCCCCGCCGCTTGCCAGGGCCCGGCCTGCATTGAAGAAAGGCCTACCCCCCAAAAGGGGTTCGATCGAAGACGAAGGGGACGGG